GTGCTGGGAATTGAATGCTCCAGGCAGACTGTGGTGGCAGATGGTTGCCTCCATCCCGTAATCAGATCTTTGTGCTGCAGCTAATATGTGCTGTTTTCCGCCTTCAACTTCATATCTTTACCATAAAGTTTAATTTTGCTCTCATCTGACCAGAGTTCCTTCTGAACGTCTTGGTTCTCCTGCGTAGCCATATTGCAGGGCTCTGCAACCTTTCATATCCAAAGAGCCATTTTGCTTCGAGAACGACCAAGAAAAAGTTGTTTGGAGCCGCAAAACTTAAGACGACTTAAAAAAAAAAAAAAAAAAAACGTATTTTTTATTAGATTAGTTGCCATATTAAACAACTAACCATTTATGTATTTTAGCTTTTAAAACAATATTAAAACAAATAATTTCCAAGCTAATTCAAAGAAAAACGGCTCCTTAAACATATTTCTGGTTCTTTTAAATGATTATTTTACATCTAATGAAAAACACTAAAGCGTTAAAAACTGCTATTTATAATAATATATACAATATATGACAATATTAAGCTCTTTCTGCATTTAAGACCCTATTAAGAGCCCCTGGAGAGGATCCAAAGGGGCACATGTGGCTCTGGAGCCGCAGGTTGCAGACCCCTGCCATATTGAAATGTATTGATTGGTCACTATTTTTTTGTTTTTTAAATAATTCTACATTCTTGTTAATTCATTATTTTCCTTCCACTTTACAACAGCTTCCTGAAAGTTTCTGGTTTTAATATGAACACTGCAAAAGATTGAATTCTAAATAAGTCATTTTTGCTCAAATTAAGTGCATTTTTTCTTGGAATTGAGGAGGTAAGTGAGACACTTTGCCAATGGAACAAGACAATTTACAGTTAAAATAAGACAAAAACAATTGCTTTGTTTTATTTCAAGTGTATATTATCTAATTATCTTGTTTTAGGAGTAAAAATACGAATTCCATTGGCATATCATCTTATTTACCTGCTCAAATTAAGAATAAGTACACTTAATTTAAGGCGTTTTTTTATGTATTTCTAGATGGTTTTTGCAGTAAATGGGAAAGTTTTAGGAGTAGGAACACTTAGCGTTGGTCCACGCAGCTGACATGGAGCCTCCTGCTTCATTCACTTGAAAGCGCCGCTGATAAAACGCCATTTACCCGACAGGCTAACGAGCCGGCACCTGTTCCCAGCAGGAATCCAATCACTCCGCTCCATCTGGGCGATCAGTATATTTCTGCAGCTCAGTCACTCATTGATATCTTTATACCAGCAAATTAAACCACTTAAGATCTTTTCTTTTTCTCCACCAATCCTTATATGAGCTTAAACACTCAAGTTGGTTCTGGGGCTTAGAAAACAAGCCATGATGGTAGATGTATGAGAAATGAGTGTTTAATTGAAATATGAAAACAAAAAGGTTCTGATGCACGCTTATATGTAGAGCTCGCACGCTGCCACAGAACTTTCATGTCTAACCTTAGAACTGATGGTTTTCTATCTATTTTAGCCTTTTTTTGTTTTCGGTTGTATTTGCACTAATCTCATTTATACTAGCAATGCCCCAAAGCTGTCCTGTGGCTGTCAGCTACCAAATACCCGTTTGTGTACGAGGACACAGCTCGATCTGTGTGTGTAATGTATAGAAATACTCTTTATGTGTATTGTTTATAGGATCAGTGTTTGTTTCCTCCTAGGTTCTGGGTTGCTTTGCCCGGAGTCTATGGGGGGAAACCAAACCTCTCTGGTCTGGGAAACCAGTCAGTGTTACTGCGTCGCCTGTGTGCATGATGCGTCCTCAGGCTGATGTGATCGCTCCAGTGCCTTCTGTTGGTAGGAGTGGGATCAGCATTGACGCTGACCAGCAGGAGATTTAGTACTTAACCTTTGACAGTATTGATAATCACCACAATTTTTTTAAGGTCTTGTTTCTTTGAATTTATTTTGACTGTACAAAGCGCTGGTTACATGGCTGGAAATGAATACATGTTAAATGTAGGATCAGACCTGTCCAATGCTGATTTTTCTTTTTCTTGTTTTTTTTTTTTTTTTTTTTAAGAGAAAATGTTGAAACTGAAACCTTTCCTTACTCTGATTTATAAATGAAGCCTCCTTAATAGCTTCACAGATTAGATTTTTTTGCAATGTATCATGCAGAAGAATCGACCACGGGATGAAATGTTTGAAGGTGAAGACTGTCATTGGCAGCTGTATTTGAAAATGCATTGAAGTATTTAATTGGAACGAGTACGAAGGTTGGTCAGCTGTTGGTTCAGTATATTTTTCTGTTCTTAACTTGGACCAGACAACCCCAGAAGTATTTTTGTTTTGTTTCTTTCATGCAAATCAAACCTGAAATGGATATTTAGCTCATACCGGTATGTTTGTTTAATGTCTTCTATCATTAACATGGCGATCATTACATTTTTTGTTCCTATTCTCTAAAAAGTCAGAACTATGGTGCTTTATTACAACTACAGGATAAACTTCAGTTTAAATGTGCCAACATTTCAGCTTCTTTTTCAGCAGTTTTTATTTATTTAGTAAAGAAAAGGTACTTCTGAAAGTAGAGCTTTTTTGATCTGTTTAAACCATTTTAGAGTGTGAACCTTATCAGAACCCAAGAATGTTTCCAAATTGTTAAATTTTCCAGATTATGATAAATCTGAGGGAGTAGATTGTGTAATGTTGGCTGCAGGTAGCCACATTCCTGGAAGTCAGGATTATGTCTGAAATCGAAAATATAGAGTTTGGATCAATAGCTGCCAAAGCACGTTGTTAGATTTGATGTATTTGATGAATGCATTTTTAACACAGCTGCTCGATGATGCTACAAAAAAATGTTTTCATGCTCTAACTGAGCCTTCCGGATCCTTAACATTTGATTTGGATTAATTTGTCTGGTTAGTTTATGGACCTGCTCTGAATGCCTCTTGGGTTGAATGAAAAAATGTCCCACAGCTGGTTTTCAGACTGGATGCCTGGTGTTGCCTTGGTTATTTTACAGAAACTGTCAAATAAAATGAACGTTTCTCTGAAATTATTTCTCCTCTTAATTACTGCTTGTATGTATGTATATATGTGTATGTATACACTACCGTTCAAAAGTTTGGGGTCACCCAAACAATTTTGTGTTTTCCTGAAAA